CCTGGTCCTAAATACAGAGAGGAAAAAAAAAAAAAGAAGAAGAAGAAGAAGAAAGAAACAGGCTAACAGGAAGCAGTTAAATTGGCAAGAGTAAATTATTTCCTGTTAATTTAATGTGAAAAGAGAGACAGGGAGATGAGTAGCCCACCTGTCATTCCATTACTCTGGGAGACTAATGCAGGAGAATTGTAAGTTTATGTCCTACCAGGGCAATTTAGTAAGACCATATCTCTCTATTAAAAAATCCAAAAAAGGACAAGAATATAGCTCAGTACAAGGGCCCTGGGTTCAGTCACTAGAACCAAAGGTGGGGGAAAAAAGATTGCCTAAGTACTTTTTAAAAAATTTATGTTGTCTCTAAGAAATACATTAGTGTCAAAGACTACATGGGACAAAAATGATGGGCTAGAAAAAGATGCTCTATGCAAATAAAAACCCAGAGGTAATAGGATAGCAATACTTAGATCAGGCAAACTACACCTGAAGCAAGAAACTGTTATAAAAAGCAAAGAACAGTTCACCAGGAAGATATAACCAAGTATGTACCCAGCATCAAAATATCTAAATATGTAAAACAAACATTCATAGAAATAGTAATACAATAATAAGGGACTTCAGTGCCTCAGTTTCAATAATGAAAGGACTATATAAACCAGAACATCAGTAGGGAAACAACTGAACTAGAAACCAACTGGACCTAGCAGATACATACAGAATATTCTACATATACATTCTTCACAAGCACACCAAGAGCCTTCTGCTGAGTGTGTTATGACATAGAAAAAAGCTTAATGAATTTTAAAAGTCTGAAATCTTACAAATAACTTTTCCAAACAAAATAGAAGCTAGCAATGAATCACAAAAGGAAAACTGAAAAATTTATAATGTGGAAATTAAATCATATTCTTGAGTAACCACTGAGTTAAAGAAAAAGGAAATTTAAAATATCTTGACAGCTAAGAAGAAAATTCAAACAACTTAATGTTATATATACCTCGAAGAATTAGAAAAAGAATAAACTGGATCCTAGTTGGGCTGAAGGAAAATAATAAAGATTAGAACAGAAAGTAAATTTTTCTAAGTAGAAGAAGAAAAGTAATTTTTAAAAAAGGTCAACAAATCTAAGAGTTGTATTAAAAAGATGAACAAAATTAAGACAGAGAAAAAAGACTCAAAATTAGTAATAAAGCCAGGCATGTTGATGCACATCTGTAATCCCAGCACTTGTGGCTGAAGTAGGAGGATTGCTACAAGTTCAAGTCCAGTCTAAACTACAAAATGAGCTCAAGGCCAGCTTGAGCTACATAGCAAAACCCTGTCTCAAAAAAAAGAAAAAAAAAAAAAAAAAAAAAAAAACAGAAATGAGGGATACTACACCTGATACCATAGAAATAAAGTTGAGAGATAACTAGGAATAATCATATGCCAACAAATTGGGTAACCTAGAATAAATGACAGATTCCTAGAAACAAGCAACAAACTGACTGCTGACCTGTTAAGATCAAAAGCAAGTCAAGGATGTCCACTGTCACCACTTTTATTCCATATGGTATTAGAAGTTCTAAGTAGAGCAATTAGGAAAAAGAAGTTAAGAAAAAAGAAGTAGAAGACATTGAATTCAAAGGGAAGAAGTAAAATAAAATTGTTCCTGTTTGCAGACATGATCTAATATATAAAAACCCTAAGGACTTCACAAAGTATTAGAACCAATAAATGAACTTCATAGTTGTAGGATACAAAACCAACATACAAAAGTTATATTCATACTATTTACCTTAGTTTGTTGGAAACAAAGATTATTGTTCTTGTTTCTTTTTTTGTAAGAAATCTTTTTGGTTTAAGTCTTACACACTGAATAACTACATTAAAGATAGCATTACACATGTAATTCTCTTACTTGATTATGGAATTCTATTTTTTCATAAAATTTAAGTGATTCATATATAGTAACAGTAAACTATTTGAAAAGAAAGGATAGCAATACCATTTATAATTCTTGAACCAAAAAAAAAAAAATCTTGGAATAAACTAAGTAGATTTTAAATATGTGCATACAACATCAGTAAAAGAAAAATACACATTGAGAGACCTCCTTTGCTTATGACTTAGAAGACTTCTATTAAAGAAGTGTTGATACTTTCCAATTGATCTGTAAATTCAATGCAGTCACCATAAAAATTCCAAAGGCATTCTTTACAGATACAGAATTCTAACACTCATGTGAATCCAAAAAAAGACCAAAAATAAGCAAATCAGTCTTGAGAAGGAAGAACTAAACTAAAGTCCCTTCCTTATTTTAAGATATGTTAAAATGTATCATGAATCCAGGAGCTTTAGGCCAGCCTATGCAACATAGCAAGCACCTGTCTAGGCTATCAATCGGTATTAGAATGTCTTATTGCAAGATTGCAAGATTAAAGACAAAAACAAGTGATACAAAAAACATTCAATTCATTATTTTAAAAAATCACTTACATCTAAAATTAGAAGGGATCTTGTTGACCTGATAAAGATTATTTTGAAATATATATAGTAGGGCTGGAGGATTTGCTCAGTCATAGAGAATATGTGTACCATGCATAAGACCCTGGGTTTGATCCCCAATACCAAAAAACAGCAACAAAACCATACCAACATTACACTTAATGGTGAAAGCTACCATTGTAACTTTCCATTTGAGATTAAGCATGAGATAAAGGCATCTTTTATTTGTTTTTGGTTTTTTGAGACAGGATCTCACTAGGTAGTTGAGACTAACTTGAACTTACTAAGTAGTTCAGGCTGGCTTGAACTTACTATGTAGTACAGGCTGACCTCAAACTCACAGAGATCTTCCTGCCCCATCCTCTCAAGTGCTGGCATTACAGGTGTGTGCCATCACACCTGGCTACAGTGTCTTTTATTAACATTTATATTCCTGAGAGTATTGTCCTATCTGGTTAGGCAAGAAAAATAAAATGATTGATTTGAAAAAAAATGAAAACTTGTGTAAATGTAGAGCAAAAGAAACATACATGTTGGTTGAAAGTATAACAACTTCAGAAAACAGTAACTTTTTATTCATTTTGATAATACTGTATTTACATACTCTAATCCATTAGTTACCATGTTGCTTTTATACCCTACAGAAACTTTGGAACTGTACATTAGGATATGTGAATAAATTCATAGTAGTAAAAATGTTCATCAAGCAAATATGTTATGGTTAAATAAAATGGGGTATTTTCAACCAATTAATATGTAGCATCTAGGACAGAGTTATAGCTTAGTCATCAAGTGTATGCTTGACATGCTTTAGGCTCTGGGTTCGATCCGCAGCATAGAACCAAAAAACCAAAAGTATAAATAGTATGTTACCATGAAAAATGAATGACTCAAGGCCGGGGATATACTCCGCAGCATAAGTGCCTGCCTGGCAAGCACAAGGTCCAGAATTTGATCCCTTACACTGCAAAAGAAGAAGAAGGAGAAGGAGAAGGAGAAGGAGAAGGAGAAGGAGAAGGAGAAGGAGAAGGAGGGGAAGGGGAAGGGGAAGGGGAAGGGAAAGGGGAAGGAGGAGAAGGAGGAGAAGGAGGAGAAGGAGGAGGAGGAGAAGAAGAACCACTACCACCCATGGCCATGTAAAACAACATAACTGAATAATAAAAGACAAGAAATGCAAATGCATATAATACTATTCTATTATAATACAACTTAAGTTGATGTTGAACTTCTGATTTTTTTTTTTTTTTCAGTACAGGGGATCATCAGAACCTTGCACTTGCCAGGCAGGTGCTTAAGCCACTGAGCTATATCCCCAGCCCTTTCTGATATATTTTATAAATATCAGAAATTTTTCCTCAGAAGTTAACATGACTTAGTTTTTTTTTTTTTTTTTTTTTTTTGGAACCAGGGATTGAACTCGGGCCCTTGCACTTGACAGGCAAGCACTTGCTCTAATGAGCTATCTCCCTGGCCCCAATATGACCTAATTATATAATTGCAATTACTTTACTATTTTATTTCTATTGGTACATGTTTGCAATACATAATGATTACATTCCTTGTAAGGCATTGTTACACGTACATAACACATCTTAATTCTTGTTTTATCTACTTCCTTTCCCCTCTTTAAAATGTAATGGGCCAGGTGTGGCTCATACCTGTAATCCCAGCACTTGAGAGGCTAAAGCGGGAAGATCACAAGTTTGGTGAAACCTTGTCTCAAAAAAAAAAAAAAAGAAAAGAAATGAAAGATGCCTCTCTCTTGAGGGCTCACATTCTGTTTTCTTTGAGTGTGTACTTTACATTCTGTCTGACTTTACTCAGATATCCTTTTTTTTTTTTTTTTTTGTGATGACAGTCCGCAAACCAGCAACCTGCCCTGTGAGTGGAACATACCCTCCAGAGCTTGATAAACCACAATCTGCCAGGACAATTGCTTTTATCTCTTGGCTTAAAAAGCAGAGCTTTGTTCCTCCAATACTTCATGTAATAAGCAGGAAAGTCCAGTGAAAGCAAACTTCCTTCTTGAACATAGTAGAAATCCAAACAGAATCTATATTATCTATACACCAGCAAGTGAATAAATGAGAAAATTAAGAAACTTCAGTTATTGCCAAAGAAAGGCAATTCATGGTAATGTGTGATACCTTTTTTTAAAGTTTGTGAATTACCATAATGAATAATGTTTTCATTGTAATTTTAAGAAATTATAACAAATAAAGGGCCACAGTAGAAAATCAAGTATCCAACTCTGAAATACTTTCTTTTCAAATCAAAATATATGAATATATGATTGGATACCTTTTTTCCTTTGCTCCTTGCTGAGTTGTTATAAATTAAAATGAGACAGTGTTACAGAATCTTTTTTGTAAAATAGAATTTCTGTGTTCCATAAAAATTCAATGAAAGATAAAAGATGTTTACATTTAGTTGAAAGTGCTAATTTGGATGGCAGAATATGCTTTCTTTGCCCAAGTGTACTGATGATATTGACTTCATTTTTCTTTCTTGCCCAGGTCATGTATGGAATGTTGGTCTTTACATTAGTACTTCGATCTATTTATATTGTTACATGGTAAGTAGCTTAGCTCATAATGCATCAACACTATGATTAAAGTATATCTAGACTTTATAACAGTATATCTTTAGCCTAAACTGAAATAACACATAAAACCTAACTCCAGCAAAGCTGTTAATAGAAATCTGTCACTTGACATTTATTTTAGTATATAGAACAGTCATTTTTCACACAAGTTGTTAATCGGCACCATGTAAAGACAGAAGTCTGAAAATTTAAAAAAACTTGAGGTCTGCAGAGGTAGCTTAGCAGTCTGAGTGCCTGCCTAGGCAAGCACAAGGTCCCGGGTTTGATCCCTGGTACCACATACTGGCCCTGGGGCTCTGAGCTACATAATGAGACCCTGTACCAAATACATTAAAAAAAAAATTTAAAACTTGAGAAAAGCTATGAATGATTGCATCTTTTTGAATATATATAACTTTTACTAAGATATTATAGTTTAAGCAATCCTATAGTTAAAATAAATTGTTGGAAAAAAAAATAAAATAGATTGTTGTTATTGTTTCTGCAACTTCCAAGGTGTTTTGCTTAACACCTCTCAAGGAAAGTTATTAATGTCACAAAGAAATAGGGTTTCATGACATATCATTTAAGAAATAACACTAATCTTCCTTCAGAGTTCATGAAAATGAAATAACATTCATAAGAGTACCTTACATAAAAAGAAAAAGAATACCTTATCTAAGTCCTGGCCGTACAGTAGTTCCTCAATAAGAAAGTGGTGTGCTTTGTCTGATTGTTCTTTATTTGGTTGGTTTTCTTTTTTAAAAAACTTTAATCTTGAGATACTTGTAGAAATGCATGTATTTGCAATAAATAATAGAGATCTTCTATACCCTTTACGAATTTTCCCCTACGGTAACGTTTTACAGAACTATAATACACTATCACAACCAGAATTTCACATTGATACAGTCAAGATACAAAACATTTTCATCATTGTAAGGATCCCTGTGTGTATAGCCACACTTATTTCTTTCCCACCTCACCCCTCCCCCAACCTACGTTAACCCCTGCCATTTACTAATCTACCCTCCATTTTTACAATTGTAATTTCAAGAGTGTTACATAAATGTCATATAGTATATGACCTTTCAGATTGTGTTTGAATTTAGCACAGTTCTCTGGAGCTTAATCCAAGATTGCTGAATATATCAATAGTTCATTCCTTTCTAGTGCTGCATAGTATTTTTATGGTATAGATGATCGCAGTTTAACTGTTCACCTGTAGGGTAACATCTAGATTATTTACAGTTCAGGGTTATCATAAATAAAGCTGTTGTGAACATCTGTCTCTTTTCTGTGTGTATACAAATTTTCATTTCTCTGGAATTGCTAGGTTATATGAAAACAAAGCAAAACAAAAACACACAAATTTTGTTTGACTATTTTTCATCTTTTCAGTTTCACTAATTCTTTTTTATTCTTTCCATCCTGTTGTTTGTGGTAGCCTTGTTTTGCTCTTCTATTTTCAAATTTTTAAGGTAGAAGTTTATATTATTGATTTCAGATTTTCCACATTCCTCATGACATTTTAAGTGCTACAGATTTCCCTTTCAGTACAGCTTTGGCTATGTATCACAGTTTTGCTGTACTTTGAATATATCCCGTGAGATATTTTTCTGGACATATGGATTAAGATTATTTAGAAGTATATTCAAGCATTTTGGTATTTTCTTGTTAACATTCTTCTTGATTTCCCATTTGATACCATTATACACAGAGTATGCTATGTATCATTTCATTTCTTTTAAATTTGTTAAGGTTTACTTTATAGACTAAGCTATACCAGAAATATTTATGCCAAACATATCTGGGCATATGTTCCATGTGTGCTTGAAAATAATTTGTATTTTAAGCCAGATTCTAGGAGGCTGAAGCTGATCAAAGTTAAGTGAGCCCACCCTAGATGACTTAATGAGACTCTGCCTCAAAATAAAAAATGAAAAGGACTTGGTATGAAGGTGTAAAGGTCCTAGGTTCACACCCCAATATCACCAAAAAATGTATCATGCTAATGTTCAGAGAAATTTCCTATAAATGTTAAGTAGGTCCTATTACTTAAAATGTTAGCATTCCTCAAGACTACCCTCCTGTTCAGTAAAAACTCAGGTTCAGTTCAAAACCCATATTATACTTAATGGTTATGATTATCTAGAGATTAAACTGATATAGGATGGCTGAGGACACCAGGCACACAAACTGGTGTTCACTATAAATCATACTAGCACAAACTATCTAGCATGACCCAAAGTGTCAGGTATACAAAGTCTCTTACTATGCAGGATTTTTCAAAGAATCAGATGTTCTCTCCCATGAGTTAGTCAAGGGCCAGTTTTTCCTCTAGAACGTGCAGTATTTGTGCTCCCCAAGCCCACTGAGTTACCTCTTTAATGCACAGTGCTATTGTTGAGCTCTTCCATATTGTTACTGATTTTCCTTATAGTTTCATCAGTCTTCAAAAATGATTTAGGATTTGTCTCCATCTTCCTTCTGTGAGTTTTGTGTCCCCTGCAGCTCTGTTGTTTGGTGTGTAGAATTGCTATGCCTTCTTGTTGGGTTGACCTTTTTATCTTATAATGTTTCTGTGTGTCTGGTAATTATCTTTGCTCAGAATTTATCTTTAAGCCAGGAGGGAGAGGTTGGGGAGCACTCTGAAAGTCTGGGGCAAGAGGCTATCAAATTCAAGTCACAATTTAGTGACTTAACAAGACCTGTCTCCCTAGCCCACCCCAGAAAAGACCTGGGGATGTAACTCAGTATGAAGGCCCTGGGTTCAGTCCTCAGCAACACTAAATAAACAAATAGAGGTGGAGATGTAGCTCAATGCCATAGCAATGGGTTTAATTTCCAGTACCACCAAAAGAGAGAAAGTGAGAAATTAAAACACATTTCATCATCTGCCTTGCCACTACTTTATATATATTTAGTAATTACTTCAGTTAACATTGTTCATTGTTTACTTGTGTATCTGCCCAACCACATTGTAAACTTCTCAAAGTCTTTGTTAACTTGGTAATCCCTAGAACCTACTATCGTGCTTATCCAAACTATCAACTAGAAAAATAACTTTGAGACAGAGTCTAACTATGTTGTCTAAGCTAGCCTTAACATCAACTAGAAATTTTAAAAACTGCTGTTTGTTTTTTTTTTTTAATGTGCCTGAGAAGACATTTAAAAATTTCTCCTGTAATAAAATACATGGAAATTATAAATTTAAAAATTTGGATAAAACAAAATTCAATTCTATAATTGTCAAGTTGAACTCAAAGAAATATAAAGAAAATTCCAAGCCAGGCATGGTGGAACACATCTGTAATCCCAACCCTCTCGTAAGCTGAGACAGAAAGGTGTGCTATCAGTACCTAAGTTAGTATTTCCCATATCTCCTTTGCACTTAAGGTTCCAGTTAGCATTCTGGTTCTGCCAATCAGATGTATTCACCTGAGATTTAAAAACCAAATTCAGTGAGGAAGAAGAGGTGGTTATATGTAAGACATCCATTTATTGGTTTGGATCTATACTGGAGCAAACAAGTATGATGGTAGCTACTTTATCTGTGATACTGGATACTGTAGTTGATGCAAGGCTTTCCGATGCTCTAGTTTCCTAATTATGAGAAAGAAAAATGTGATGTGGCAAGATTTGTATGCAGTTGTGTCTATGAGTCATTCCAGAAGAGGTTTTACTCATTTAGCATTTTTTGTTGTGAATGAAACTATACAGTTACGTTCTGCTTAAAAGAGAATTGTTTCTGTTACTGCAATTGACTCCTGGTTGATACTTATAGAAAATCAAGCCTAGAAATAAAAGACAGGGGCTAGGGAGATAGCTCAGTAGAATAAGCACTTGCCTGGCAAGCTCAAGGGCCTGAGTTCAATCCCCGGTTCCACAAAAAAAAAGAAAAAAAAAAAAAAAAGAAATAAAAGACATGTTACTAACAAAGGATTAATAATTGATCTATTGCAGACTTAGCAACAACAACAGAAGCCAAAACACAGTGGACTGTTATCTTCAAAGTGCTGAGGGAAATAACCGTCCATTCATGACTCTATACCCAAATATATTTCATCAGCAGGGTGAGATAAAGATACTGAAAGACAAAAGTGGAGTTTGCCAATGCAGTAATTCCCCCTTATCCACAGTTTTGCATCTGTAATCAAGCCTAATCCAAAACTTTTAAGTAGAACATTCCAAAAATAAACAATTCAGAAGGCCCCAAAATTTAAAGACCCAATCCAGAAATGGGCATCTGAGATGAACACACACACACACACACTTCTCAGAGGAAGAAATTATAGAAACGAATAAATATATGAAAAAATGTTTCATATCACTAGCCATCTGTGAAATGCAAATTAAAACAACACTTAGATACCATCTCACACCTGAAAGAATGGCTGTCATAAAGAAATCAACCAACAACAAATGTTGGAGAGGTTGTGGGGAAAAAGGAACCCTTCTCCACTGCTGGTGAGAATGTAGACTGGTGCAACCATTATGGAAATCAGTGTGGAGGCTCCTTAAAAAACTAGGACTGGAAATCCCATTCAAACCAGCTATCCTCAGGCTGGGGAGGTAGCTCAGTAGAATAAGCGCTTCCCTGGCAAGCTCAAGGGCCTGAGTTCAATCCCCGGTTCAGCCAAAAAGAAACAAAAAAACAAACAAAAAAATAAACAGCTATCCCCCTACTGGGAATTTTCCCAGAGGAACTGAAAACATCATATCATAGTGATATATGTGCATCTATGTTTATAGCAGCACAATGTGTGATAGCCAAATCTTGGAAACAACCAAAATGCCCATCACCTGAGGAATGGATGAAAAAGATGTGGTATTTTTATACAATGAAGTACTATTCAGCTATAAAGAATGATAAACTCAAAGCATTTATATATAAGTGACTGCCACTTGAGGATATACTCATAAGTGAAATAAACCAGACCCACATGTAAGAATGCAAAAGAAGAAATAAGAATAGAAAGGTATAACAC